ATGTTATCAAGTCGCTCACCCGTTTGGCGCCTAAAGTCTGCTAAGTCATTCTGGGTGTTTCGGATTTGCTGTGTAACCGTTTCCCAGTTGACCCACCATGAGGTCCAACGTTGCTTGAATGCTTTCCGGGTCCATTGTTGGTACTAGGGGACACTAGGGTAGGTAAATGGACAAAGGACAGCACCTAGACACTAAGTTATATGCTCCTAACGCCTCTAAATGATGCAGTTTAGAAGGGGACAGCAAACTACAGCAAGGAGATGAATGATCAAAGTGATTAGGGAGGTTCCTAGGGTGAGGACAGCACTTAAAACCTAGGTTAGAGACACCTAAAGCTCTCTAAAAGGTGCAGAAATTTTCTGGACAGCAAGGGAACACTATGAAATAAATTATTTAAGAAATGCAATGCATGCAAACAAGTGAATTGTTGGTTAGGTAAGCCCATAGGATGCTTTCTAGCATGTGTTACCTATGTCTACCATGCTCTGATACCAAAATGATGTGAAACTAGGAATTGTTTATAAGATTAATAAGAAATTGGTTAGGCAATGATAAAGTTTAATCTTAATGTTCACCCAAATGAGATTCAAAGTAATTCTTGAGAAGTAAACTACAATTAGGCAATCAATCACAACTAAAGTTATGGGAACTTTTAAAATAACAATTCAAAACAAAACGATGCAAAGATTAGTTCAACTAGAATCCACTGGTTAACAAAGCGATCGTCTCACCTTGAAGTCCGCAATCACTCTTCTATTTCTAAGGTTGGCGGGAGAAGAAGAATGAAACAATGATGGTGATCACCACAAGGTGGAAGGCGCAGACGATCCGTAGCGAGGGCGAGGGAACCGGCGGCGGTGGGGATGGCCGGCGGCTTATGATCGTCCAACGGTCGGGTGGTAGGTACTCTTCAACTGACAGCGCCAATTGATACGAGATGCGGTTGATGTATCTGTCTATTGTAATATCCCAACCCGTATAGGGATCAAAGAAGGGCAATTGTGAGATGTCGGTTCTCCCGTTGGAATCCTCTATGAATCCGTGATCAAATTCTGGATCCGCCATTCATGTTCGTAATGAATGAAGAAGAGAAGAGAGAGGGAGAGGGGAGGTGGAAGTGGCGGTTTGGGAATAGAGGGGCTTGGCCGTGAGCTAGAGGAAGAGGGAGGGAATAAACCTGAATTTAATTTCAAGTTACCATTAAAAGAGGGGTTTAATTTCAAATTCAGAACTTTAAATTTGAAATTAAGCTAGGAGGGAAGGGGATTAATGGTGTATTAATGGGAGAGAGAGAGAGAGGGTGGGGTGGCCGGCCATGTAAGGAGGAGAGAGGGGCTTGGGAATTAAGTAGGTGGGGTCCAAAGGATAGGAGTTAAATTCTAATCAAAACTGATTTTAATTTCAGATTTGATTAAATTTGAAACAACTTCCTAATTTGGTTTATAATGAGAGGGAAAAGGTTTGAATTTCAAAATAGACTTAAATTCCCTTGAATGACTTTTCTAAATAGATGAATACTAATTAGGAAATTAATTTAATCAAGGGGAATTTGAAATTCAAAAAGGAATTGGGTCAAGGGGAAGCCGGCGGCAAGGTGGGAGGCCAAGGGGGCGGCGGATGGAGCCGGCGGCCTGGCAGCCGGTCGTGGGATTTGGGTGGGCCGCTGGTAGTTGGGCTGGTCAAGGGAGGCCGGCGGTGGAGCTAGTGTGGCAGTGGGGGATTGAGAGGGTGGTGATGTTTCGATTAGGTAGGGGAAGAAGAAGAAGAAGGGTGTAAGGGAAAGTGAAAATTTAGAGAGCTACAAACCTCAAGTACCACCTCTGCAAGAACTCACAAAGAGATCTTGGGAATCTCACGAACTCACAAAGAGATCAACAATAAGAAAATTTCATTCATCAACAACTACCAAAATACAATGACTACGCCTCCATATATAGGCCTTCCAAAACAAAACAACAAAGCGAAATTGCCCTCGGGCTACAACATACAACGACTCCCTCATAGGGATACAAATGGAAAAACATAAAATATAAATAACATGAATAAAATAAAACATCAGAAATAGAAACTATGAATCATAGCCGTCGCTCGACGATTCCTCCGATGGCAAGTGTGTCGAAATCTCCTACGGATGTCCTCATCACCCTCTTCTTTGAGTTGTTCCCAAGTCTTTGCCTAATATTTTGCTAATATGCAATCCAAGAACCAAATAATAGATCAATAAAGTAAGTTGATATATCCGTAAATCTAAAAATAGCAATAATATTTCTATCCCATGATTCAAGCAAGTATTTAAGAATTATTGGCTTTCTCAACATTAGAATATTCTTATTCAAGTGCATGTAATGAGGTGATAATTTTCGTAAACATTAAGTTTCCCAAAAAATTGTTCGTAATCATGAAAAAATAAATTTATACGTTACTTCTCCACCTCATCAGTACCTTACAAGTAACACATTATCCCAAATTTCTTTTTCAACTTTATATGTAGAAATATGAATATAGTCAGATTTCAACGCAGAAAAAAAAAAGTAGGACAAGCATTTTGAATATAATTGTGTCGGTTCATGATCTTTATGCTCCCACTCATCAAAAAGACTGCCAGTAAATTTTTTCTTCACAAAATTTTGCACATGCTTTATGGTGCAGAATGTTAGCCATTAAAGGAGAAACATAATATTAAGTTAAGTGTTACAGAGTTGATGATGCTCAGGTGGATGAGTTGCTGTACTCTTAGAGACAGGATTCGAAATGAGCATTTACGTGAAAAAGTTGGAGTAGCTCTAGTGGAAGATAAGATTAGAGAGAGTCGCCTTAGATGGTTTGGTCACATAAAACAGCAACCTTCAGATGACCTAGTTATGAAAGTAGATGTATTAGATTTGACTTATGTTAAGAAAGGTAGAATTAGACAAAAAAAACTTGGTTAGAAAATATTAAAAATGACCATTCTTTTTTAGATTTAAATGAGAATTTAACTTTTAACAGAGCACAATGGAGAAAAATGATTCATGTAGCTGACCATATAGTGGGAAAATGGCTTGATGTTGTTGTTGTTGTTGTATATTTGCATGAATGTAAATATCCTATCAGTACTAAATTTCAAGCATAATTGTCAATGGATGAATAAAAGTAGATAGTCTAACATTCCATAAATCAAACAGAATATCATAAAATAAATATGGTTGGTTAATAAAATACCTTTTGGTGATGCTATTATTCTCAAATGTGTCATACAAATCTACTTTGTATAGTTAAAACTTAAAACAAAGAGCCTCTCTGATATCAATTGATTCGTATGGCACACCCAAGATGTGGATAGATTCTTGTAATTTTGAAAATAATTTTAAAAGTTAATAATTTTTCTCTTTTAAGATAATAAAAACATGAAAGTAAATTTTTTTTATTGAAAAAGGCAAATATGATTTTTTTATATTAAGGAAATACTTATCAGAATATTCAAATTTCTTCCCAAATACAACAAAAGGTTTTTGTAATTTTTATTTTTTTTAACATTCAAAAGCTTTTTCTCACATCTCACATCACAAATAGGCACAATTCATAATTTTTTCAAACATCATCACAAAGAATTGCAACAAGTAAAAGAGCTGAAAAAAAATTAAATGCAAAGAATGGCAAACTTAAGTACAATAGGTTGGTCCTCAATGGCCTATGTCTACTCCCCAAGTGTTCTTCTTATGATTTTTCACAACTCTCTCCTTTTATTACCGCAAACGAGAGCATGTACTGAAAAAACCCTACCATCCCTTTTACTCCAAAAGAAGCACCAAATACTCATAGCCCCACACCTCGACACATAGAATTTTATAATAGTTTCGAGATTCAAGATATCACATGATAAACAAATAAAGACTCTCAACAAAGTATATTTCAAATTTAATCGTATAAACCATTTCAAATACCATGTGACTTAATTGAATTTATTTTAGGTAATTTATTGAGCAGTATTATGCATTTCGTAATGGACAATTAACCCAAATTTTGAACAATTAAAATTAAGGCAAATTGATTCTATCTATTTGATTGAGATAATCATGTTGATTGTTCAATACAACATACACATATAGCACAATTAAATTAATTTTTAATTATTTTAATTAACATAAATTGATCATATTAATATTATATCAAAATAAAATTGTCAGTATGATATATACATAGAGCACAATTTTAAGCTTAATTTGCATTACTTAAAATATATTTCTTATCTAAACTAAAATATCTCATATGTAATTTTGAAATCAAACATAATTAAACAAAACAATCCATGATCGAATAGTTCAATCAAATTAGTGAGAAATTTTAGTCGTAATTGATCATACAGTACAACACATGATCGTACACTACAGTCATTTAAGAAAAAATTTTAATAATATTGACTTAGAATTTATCTACTCTAAATTCTCTTGTGTGCACGTCGGTCAACTTGTCTGCCTCAATAGCTAAGAAAAATAATACAAGATGAAAAATATAACACTTTAGAACTTGAAGCATAGGTCTTGAAATCTCTCTGCCTAACTTGAAATACACGAACTATAGACATCTTTTAAGCTACGTATGCGCTTCTAAGTGCCTTTATCTCATGAATTGCTTTTCCAACTTTTACCTAAAATGTTAGAACTCATTCCTACACGAATCTTATTCAAATTTTGTTTAGCTCATATCATATTATGTTTGTAATCATTAAAAATTAATCATGTCATGTAGGACATAAACTTTTGACAATTTCAAAAGATAAAACTATTTAAATTAATGTTGGTAACCGATAGAATTAATTAAAGCTTTAAATGAAGGTCAGAAATATTTTCTAAGTGTTGCACTGAAGGATTAAATTTATTGCACTTCACAATTCCTAACTGATGAATTTCAAAGAAACAACCATCATGAAATGCAAGATTGCTTATGTGTGCATCTTGCCATTTGAATCAGACAATTTCAGAAACAAACAGGAACTGGAATATAAGGAGCTGCAGTTATACCTCATTGCTTTTCATTATGGACACTTGGAGGGCATCTTTCTTAGAATTAATAGAGATGGGCCTTAGCCAAACTTGCCCGCATTTAGATGAAAGAAAACCTCCCATGAAAAATTTTACCATCTTCTCCTTTCTAAGAACGTGAAAGTCCATCATTTCTGTTTGCAATAGCAAATTAATATCAGAAAAAAAAGATCAATTTGACAACATATAAATTGGCTGAGCTAGAAAAGTGACATGAAAATATATAACAAAGCAGTGAGATGCAGAATATGTTGATATGCCCTGAATAAGAGGCATACGTCTCTGCAATTTAGGGCTGCTGAAATAAAAGAAGAAGAAAGCTGAAATAAGTTAAGGTGTAAGGATGCTAAACCTTGAACATGCATACCAAATCACACAGAAACAATAAAGCCAAGCCTTGAAGATTCTCCAAACATGTATACCTGAAGTATCTCATCTGACGACTTATATGTTAATGCCTATAGTACAAACCAGTTCCTCCAACGAAATGATAGCATCTTCAAACTAAGAGAGTGCGCAGTACAATACAAGTAATTATATCTATTGATTTTTGCATGTTAAGTTAAAATATATGAAACACACAAAAATTATTAACAAATTCTAAACAAAAGCTTCAAAATACTGTGAGCAAGTACCTACTCTACACTGCCAGTAATCAAATTAGAAGCTTATGGTTGAAGAATCAAGCACAACTTCTGCTATGTCATTATAGCGGGTAATTCATGTCACAATCAAAGATTCAAGCACCAACTTTTCTCCAAATTAACAAGAAAAGAAGGTCTTTGGAAATGATTTAATTGCATATGCAACATTCGCCAGCTACGCTCTAACTTTGTCCATTGCTAGTGCTAAAACTCCAGGTCCAGAAGCAAGGTCTTTGAACATATAGTTAGACAAATATGATGCCTAGGGGTGTCAATATTTTGCATGACCCGAAAGCCCGACTCAAAAATTTCGGGTTACGGTCAACCCATTTCTCAAACGTGTCGGGTTCGGGTTCCCGGATTCAACCCATTTGGAAAAACAAGTCGGGTTCGGGTCGACCTGAAAATCGGAACTCAACCCAATTTAACCCAGGAAAATCGTGTGAGTCACGTCCATCCCGTCCCGTCCGTCCCGTCCCGTCCAAGCCACTGCCACAGTCCCGTCCTGTCCCGTCCAAGCCGTTGTTGTAGTCCCATCCTGACCTCTAGCTGTCGCCATCCTGTCCCATCCCGTCCAAGCCGCTTCCGTTGTCCCGTCCCAACCTCCGGCTTTTTTAGATCAGAAGTAAAGAAGAGACAGGTTGGCGGGTCGTGTTGGGTTGACTCGGGTCCGAAGTGGGTCAGGTTCGGGTCCGAGAAAGTGGCCTGTTTGAAAAAATGGGTTGGGTTCGAGTCGGGTGAACTTGTGTCTGGTCAGTTCCGGGTTGGACCAGAACCCGACCCGTGACCCGATTTTGACAACCCTAATGATGCCACAAGACATTTTGAATTCACTAACATATCTTCTCTCAAATGTAATGCTATAGGCTAGACCTTGTAATGAAAAAGATGGAATCCTTTTTCTCTAAAGTTTGAAGGATTTTATTTAAAAAAAAATGTAAAGACGTCGGCTGCTCTTATGACTGACTAGGAGCTCAAGCTTGAAGTTACATGTGTTATAATTGATATACATAGAAGTATTCAGTTTTAAAATAGGTTCCACTGAGTTCTATGCACAGTCTCTTCGAGTAGGCTGTGTAAGTATGTTTTAAATCATTCCAGAAACTCTACTTGAAAATTTTCTAATCTTCGAACCCAAAATTTCATATAAACCTTCCAAAAAGCTAGCAAACATGATTGACTACTACGTCTGTTTGCCGCATTCTGTCAGTTTGTTCAGCTTATCAAGATCTGCATTGATAACAATATTGGCCATATGTCGCATGCAATAATAGTTGTGGAGGTAAGTAGAGCTTGATCAATATTATTGAGTTCATTTTATTTTGAGTCCTTAATGCTATATAATAAGGCAACTGGTCAACGTATCTAGCATTCAAGTTATAATATTAACTTTTTATATGACTTCCTTGCTTTTTTTAAGAGTGGAGAGAAAACAGTACCCATCGTAACCATCATTAGCATTATCCTAACTATGCGGGGTTGGAGTGGGGTTGGCGTTATAAATTTCCATTCTCCATTCCTTAAAATAAGTGTTCCGTGAGAAGCAAACAATGATACATGGATTCAAAGCTAGAAATAACCGTTGGGATTGTGAAAATAAACCATACAATGAAACAAACAAGGAAAAATAGAATGCAGCGGAAAGTAAAGAACACTAGGATTTAATGCGGAAAAACCCGAAATCGGGAAAAAAACACAGAGCCACACCACACCAAGAAATCCACTAAGAAAATTGGGAGAAAAAAAGTACATATCTATCTTCTCTCTCACTCTCCTTGCTTACCAAGGGGACACCACCTTTGAGAAAAACGAGAAAAAAAACTGTACAGTCCACCTTGAAGAGTTGCGGCGACAGTTTGGAGGCTACAGAGCTCTAACCTCTGTCAGTTGATCCGTCTGACAATGTTGCGGTGTCGAATATACAACACTACATCGCTCTATTCTCTGTTGATTTTGTAGAAAAATGTCCAGCGAACAATGCAGAGCCGAGGTGCTTGAGTATACAGCGTTGGGGGCTCGGGTATACAGTACCGAGACGTACGTAAAAAAAAAATTCTAGGTGCAAAGCACCCGAGCCCAAGCAGGGGGAGTTCATAGGGGTGTAAGCGAGCAGGGCGCAAGCTGGCTTGAGCTCGACTAGTTAACGAGCTCGCGAGCTGATCTTATTGATCCATGAGATCGAGGTCGAGATTGATGAGACTCAGCTCGTGAGCTCGCGAGCCAGCTCGAATCACTATTAGTTTTTTAAATAGTTATTTTTCAATATTTTAAAATAATTTGAGATGCAGTTTTAATTTAAAGGAATTAAATGTGTATAGCTTTTAAAGGCATTAAAAAATATAAAATATTAAATTAATGTTTTCAAGGTTGCAATTTTCATTTCAGGGCATTAAATGTGTACAGCTTTTAAGCATTAAAACATATAAAATATTAATTTGATGTACAACTTTCACTTAAAGACTGCAACTTATATTTTCCAAAGCTGCAGTTTTCGCCAGTTCTCCTTCTTCTGCCAATTCTTCCTCTTAGGCCCATTCCAAAGCTGCAGCTTTCTTGCCTCTACATTTTTTCAGCTTTCGTCTGCTTCCGGAATTCAAAATCCCGTGCATAATTAAAAGAAAATACCGCACGTGACGCGCGTTGGACTTCGCGGACTGGCGCTTTGGAATTGAAAGTCTGGCAAACGACGCGGAACATGCAGACTATGCAAACCAATGCCGAGGCTCGTGAGCCAGCTCGAGCTCGTTTATAATGGGACGAGCTCGAGTTTGAGCTCATCTTTCGAGTTCGAGCTGGCATTCTAACTAACGAGCCGAGCTTGATAATGCCATTACTAGACTCGACTTGACTCGTTTACACCCCTAGGAGGTCCCCCCCCCCAGTGAGCACAATAAACTAAAAGACACAATCTGATTCCACATAGATTAACAATTTCCTACTTGAAACTAATTGCAATCAATCATTCTTCCAATCTGCAACATCAATTATAATACATGTAGCGTGGCTTGCCCTTGCTCATCCCTCATGAAGACCAACGGAAGCTACATATAGCTTTAATTTATCAACTATCATCATCTTCGTTAGCATGTTTGAAGGATTCTCTATCGTGTATCTTCTTCAAAGATAACTAATAATCTTCTAGAAGCAACCTGATGAAATGATACTGAAGCTAAATGTGGTTCCTTCTGGCATGGAATATAGCATTCTTGACTAAATGAATAGCACTCATGTTGTCACTATGCAACTTCCCATTCATTTGCCCCTTTGTCGAGTTCTGTCAAGAAATTTTGAAACCAAATCATCTTCATGCTACCCTTAGTGATAGAAATATACTCGGCTTCTGTGGTTGAGAGAGCAAAAATCTTCTATAACTTGAAAAGCTAACTCACTTTAGTCTTTCCGAAAGTGAAGATATAACTTGTTGTGCTCCTCCTGCCATCAAGATCTCCAGCAAGATCAAAATCTACATACCCCTGTAGATCAACCCATGGACCTCCAAAGCAAAAAACTTTGTTAATTGATCCTTTAAAGTACATGAGAATCTACTTAAACATTTCCAAATAAATTTTGTTTGATTTACTCATAAATATGCTAACTACTCCCACAGCATATGTTATATCAGATCTCATACAAATCATAGCATACACCAAACTTTCAACTACTGAAGCATATGGAGTCCTCTCCATCTATTCTTGCTCTACTTCATATTTATGCGATTATTTCTTAGATAGCTGAAAGTGACTACCCAAGGGAGTGCAAACTGGCTTTGCCTCTCATGTTGGATCTTTGAAATACTTTTTCAATATATTCAACTTGAGACAACTTCACCATACATTCACTTTTATCCATACTAATTCACATACCGAGAATTTTGTTAGCCGAATGCAGATCTTTCATTTCAAACACCACTGATAATTGATCCTTTAGACATCTTATCTTTTTAATATCTAATCTTGCAACCAGCATGTCATGCACATACAAAACTAGAATAATATAATCAAAATATTTGAAATAGCAATAGTGTTTTGTCTAGTACTTAGTCTACCCATTGTCTGACATAAACCTGTCAAATCTCCTGTACCGCTGTCTTGGTGTCTTCTTCAGCCCATACAAACTCTTTTTGAGCTTATACACCAAATCTTCTTTATCTGTAAACTCATATCCCTAAGGTTGTACCATGTATAACTCTTCTTCAAGTTCACCATGAAGAAATGTTGTCTTTATATCTAAATGATTCCACATAGACTAACAATAACTAATATAACTGCATAAAAAATTCAAAGAAATTGAAACCTTTTGACCACAACTTTTGTTCAGTATATGAACATATTGAACATAATGTGATTCAAATATAGAAGCACGGGATAATAAATTCAATGGATAACTCTTTTCAGTAGTATTTCCATTATTTTCTTTCCCCAATACCATCTAGCAATGAACTAATCTGAACAAATCACATATCACAGATGGTTGAATCAATTACAAGGATTTACCTCTGAAACAAATTGAACATCAAGGATGAAATAGAAATAGAGAAATGGTCCATAACATCTACTAAGATTTGCATTCCAAATCTGAAACAAATGATTCCTGTACACACTATAAGCATGACAAATTCCCAATTTTAACAAATTAAAGTAAAGCTTGTCCATGCTTCACTTGACAGTATTTTTTTAACAAAAAAAACGATAAATTAACATTATAAGGTGTCTAAATTTTCTTATGAACACAGCTAAATAAAGAATAACGGCACGTAGGAAAGGACAACAATTTCCCCGCAGTAGCCAGCTCAGTGGTTGGAACCTCATTCTCATGAACTATCTGGTCCTAGAAAAAGCCTCCCTTGCGAAACTTTTAAGAAATGGCCGCCCATTGATTGTAGAAAGAAGCTCTTAGCACAGAAAAGCGAAGCCACCAAGCAAAGAGTACAACGTTAAACCCTAAACCTTTTAAAGGAAAACAGTCGGGACACAGAATTCTGTCATATTACTGATTGTTATAAGATCAAATCGGTGTAAATTGAACTAAGTATTCAAAATAAATAAGCGATCAAAGAGTTATTGCTCGAATAGAAAAGAAAAACATGCAATGAATGGAAAAACAAATCAAAAAGGCTCAAATAGCTCACGGGAGGATAAAACACCTCTACGAGATCCATCCAGCAATAACCGCGAAGCCTTGCCTCGACTCGGTGTCAGCGAGAGCTGGTACCAGCTGTGGGACGCTTCCATCTTCATTAAAATGAACTCGTAAGAAACCTGGAGGGGCTTTTAGCTTCAAGGAGGGTTTATGTACATTTAATTGAAACTTATTTGACATGACAAAGGTTAAAGTTAGGGGTGTCAATATTTGATACGACATGAAAATCAGATTCAGACCCGATTCGGAATTTTCGGGTTAGATCCGGTCGGGTTCGGGTTGACCCGGCGGGTCGCAAACCCGTTTGAAGCCCTGCCAGCGTCGCTGCCAGCGACTGCCTCGCTCGCCCGCGACCACGACCTCGCCCGCGTCGCTCGCCAACGTCGCACCGCGCGCCCACATCTCTGCCCGTGACCGCGTGATAGAGCATTTAATCTATTAAATTGATCATTAATATTATTTCGATACTTATTTTTAAAGTTAAGAATTTTTTATGAATGTAATATTTTATTAAATATCAATTTATTACGATATTAAAAAAAAAGAATTTATAATCAAATTAGCTTACAATAATGATAAATTGATTCATTTAATATTTTTAATTAATTAATCTTAAATACTTAGATTTGTTTAATTATATCAAATTAATATGATTGAATATTACTAATTTTAATTTTAAAAAAATTATCACCCTTAAATAGACTAATTAAATCATATTTATCATATATTAATATCCCATTTAAGTATTAATTAATGAAACCCAAAAACTCTATTAAATATTGAGGAATAGATAGAATGTAATTAATAGTAACATAGACATGGATTTATAATAAAATAAAAATAAAAATGATAGAGATATACATTTACAAAATAACATAACAATTGGTGAAGTAAGCAAAATTATAAATAACAGTAGCAGCATTCAAGCACTCAAACAACCAATAGGATTGGCAACATACACAAGAAGGAGAAAAAAGAAGTCCTGGTTTTCACCGAGAAGGATGGAAGAGCCGGATGATAGGAGCTCGCAGCCACATGAAGAAGGTTGCCATCACCTTTCTCTTGTGTTTAGATTTGCTAAATCATATTAATCGGTCAAACTCTCAAATTTAGTAAATCAAGGATTTAATGCAAAATGGAGAGAGAGAATTTAAGATTCTAGGAAATTTAAAATTGTCATTTTTATTGTTTGACAAAATTTAGGTAAAATTGTACTCCCAAATAGCCCCAAAATATGATTGCATGTTGTAAAAATCATGATAGGCTCAAAATAAAAGAATAGAAAATATTTTTAGGGGTGAAGGGGGTGCATTGTGTTGCAAATCAGGAATCAAGATTGAGATTGTGATTTTTTTATGATAACAAAATATTATTGTTATAATTTTATTGTTTTTTTCTAACATATATTAGATATTTCAGTTTGTTTTTGTGTGTACTAACATTTCAGGGAAATCATATACTATTCCAGATTTTTTAAGACTTCAAGACAAGGTGGAACATAATTTCATGTAATAGAGTATGTATATCTTTATTTTTTATTTCTTAAGTAAGCATGTGTGATTGTAATTGGATATAGGGAATCTGATTTTTTTTATATAAATTGTTCATACTATATGATATCTAATCGTACTATACGATTTGATAAGTATTTTCCTCCAGAATGCAGTTAATCAAATCATGGCTTGAATTTTTGAATTGTTCATACAGTACGATGTGAATCTGTATAGACGGATGATAGATTATGAAATTAGGTTAGTACCAGATCGTGACAAATGAAAACATTCATTTTAGCACTATTCATACAGTACGATCTTAATTCGTATAGACGACTAACAAATTATGAAATTATGTTTGTATAAGATCGTACCGTACGAACACATTCATTTTTGAATTATTTATACAGTACGATGCAAATTCATACAGATAAATAACATAGTACAAAATTAGGTTTGTGCCAGATCGTACCGAATGAACACATTCATTTTTTGAACTATTGTATTCTATGATCTTAATTCATATAGACAACTGACAGTGTGCAAAGCTGAGCTCGTCCAAGGTCGTACCAAACAAAACCTTGATTTTTGAAATGTTCATATCAGACGATCCACGACAGTTCTCTTGGAAAAAAAATTCAATTTTTGGATGATTTTCACATGTTTTTTGTATAAAGAGTCATAAAAAATGTCTAATAATCCATTAGCAGTGAAAATCTCTTGAGAGTGACCATTTTAGGTGTCTTTGGGAGAAATTTTGAGAGTGAAGAGTGAGAGATCTAGTGAAAGGGAATTATGAAGGATTCACAAGGTTGCTGAAAGTGAGGAGATCTATTTGTCTTCTTCAAGTTATTGTCCATCTTCTTTGGAGGCTCTTAGGAGAAGATCTTCAGCATTGGATATGAGTACTCTACCTTCACCAGGAGAGTGAAAAAGGGTGTGACGGTACACTTCCATCACTTGGAGAGTGTAAAAGACGATGGTTCTCTACTACACCGGGTTGATGGAAGAGAGTTTTGAAGGGCTTCTCTGCCTTGCTTTTAGAGCAAAAGGAGAGCCACTATTGTTTAGTGCAATACCTTAAGAAGAAGTTTCCAAGGAGTGGATGTAGGTAAAGTTTGACCGAACCACTATAAAATTTGGTGTTCTTCTTTTATTATTTATTTTTCTTATATTTTTATTTTTTTACATTTAAAATTTTATGGTTGAAAAATCATGGGATAACCATTTATTTAAATAATTGAATATTTTAGAATCATTGATTTAATTTTCTAAAAAGGTTTTCAAAATCCAAAAAAAATTAAATAACCAATTCACCTCCTCTCTTGGTTAGCCTTGAGACAGTTCTAAAAGGTTTAACGACCAACACGATCTTTCAAGTGGTATCAGAGCCAATTTCAAAAGTTAAAGTTTAGATTACTTTTTGAAAAAAAAATGATCATGGCTAATCTTGGAAATTGCAATACTACTATAGAATATTTGATCACTATACCATCTTTATTTGATAGCATTTCTTTTAATTTTTGAAAAACTCATATGTCTACTTTTCTGCTATCAGTTAATTTTTACATATGGATTTTAATATATGGAGGTTATACTAAACCTACTAGAATTATTGATGATATTAGAATTGAAACATCATTTACTGATTAGACTTTAAAAGAAAGAGAATTAGCATAGTTTAATGCAAAATATTTAAATAGTTTTTTTATCTTTCAAAATCTAATATTATATGGTGTTTCTACTTGCAAGACTAAAAAAGAAATTTGAGATAGACTTTGCATAACTTATGAAGGAACAAATGAGGTAAAACAAATTAGTTTGAATATTTTACTATATGACTAGAACTATTTTGTATGAAACCAAATGAGTCATTTTTATATGTATACAAAGTTTACTCATATTGTTAGTTCATTACATATTTTAGATAGAGATATTACAAATTTAGAAAAAGTTAATAAAATTTTACGTTATCTACCTTCTGTTTATGATGCAAAGATAAATGTCATTACTGAGTCTAAAGATCTGAATATATATTCTATTGACAATATGTTTGGATCTTTTATTGCTTACGAGTAAAGAGTGAATCAAAGACAGGTTGATATATGTGAAAAAAGGAAAGAAAGAAATATAGCATTGAAAGTCGATGATTCAGAGAGTGATCAATTAATGCTAGAGGATGAAGAAGATATTGCACTTATGACTAAGAAATTCAAAAGTTTTCTTAAGAGAAAGCAACGACGACATCAGCATTGGAACAAATGTAAGTTTAATAAGACATCAAAAGTTTCTAATGAAGTAATTTGTTATAAATATAGAAAGCCTGGATATACAAAGAGTGAATGCTCGAATCTCAAAGTTAATCCTAACAAGGAGAAAGTTCAGGAGAAAACTAACATTAGGAAGGGTAATAAAAGAATGCAAATAACTTTTTGGGCTTACTCGGCTTTAGACTCTTCAAAAAAGAAGCATAAGAAGAGGTTACAAATTTGTGCTTAATGGCATATAAACTTGATCATTTAGATCAAGAGGATGTATGTGACATATCCTATAATGAATTATGTGAAATTTCTAAGAAAATTTATAATGCATATATGAAACTTAAAAAATTACATACTAATCTTAGTATTGAAGATTTGAATTTATAAAAAGAGCATGAAAATTTGAAGAATGATCATGCAGACATAGATATCAATTGCATGGCTTTGCTAGGAATTTGATGATTTGAATAAGAAGCATAAACTATTGTAAACATCTTATACTGGGATTGCAAATGATTTTAAAGTTTTTATGGGTGAATTTAATAAAAAAGAACATGATTTGAAGATTGAAAATTCAATTTTGAAAAATACAAATTCATATCTTCAAATAAAATTGAAAGATTTTAAGGAAAATAAATCAGCTCCCACACTTGAACAATTTTATAATCCTAACCAAAAGCATACAAGTTTAAAACCTAGGAAATGATATTATAACTCATATAGATTTGTAAACAATTTTCCTAGTGTTAAATATTCTTCATATGAAATGTTGTGGAATATTTTTCACACTTGCACTATTCATAATATAATACATTTAGTATAGAGAACTAAGATTCATCAATCACAATATATCAAATATACATCTATATTATAATTATCAAGAGGTGAACCCAAATTTATTTGGGTTCCCAACTTTAATATTTAATTATTTTTTAGAAATGCTCTCATACAAGCCCTTTTGGAGTATTTGGTACTTAGATTATGGATGTTTAAAATATATGTTTGGAAATGCAAATCAATTTATATTGCTGAAGGCCGAGATTGGAGGAAAAGTGACACTTAGATATAGCACCACTAAGAGAGTGGTAGAATCAGGTATGATTGGTAACACAAAAAATATTCTGATTGAAAAGGTCTTATTGGTAGAAGGCCTGAAACATAATTTGCTAAGTATTAGTCAACTTTGTGATAATCATTTTAACATAATTTTTTTTCCTACAAGCTATATTATAAGTCAAAATGGAGTTGTTGTGTTGCATGGAGATAGGGTAAATAATATTTACATGCTTGATTTAAATTATGTTAAATCTTTTAATACTTTTTGTCTAAAAACTATTACTTATAAATCTTGGTTATGGTATAGAAGACTTTATCATGCAAGCA